TACCTTTGCAGGAAGAACCAACAATAACTGAAGTACAAGAGGAACTTCCAAAAGAAAACATTCCTGTTCCAAACTTGAAAAAAAAATCCAAGAAGAATGCTGAAAACCTAGCTAATCTTGATACAATTATGATACATACAGAAGAGGTAACTAAGAAAAATGATAAAACTGATGACAAGCTAAAATCTCTCTACATCCAAGAAGAGGTAGAAAATTAACTTTTACTCAATAAAGCTCCAAGAGATGAGCTAACAATGGAGAATCCAGCTCGAACCTTTGCTTTACAAAAGTCTGATACAAATAAGAAAGAAAATACTCCGCCTAATATAGATGATGAAGGCTTTATTACAGTATCTAATAAGAAGAAAAATAATAGAAAAAGCAGGTCGAATCAGGATATCATAGGATCTACCTCATACCAAAAGGGCAAAAGTGGGCATAGAGCCACCTCACAATAAACAAATCTTATCTTATTCTATGACAGAAAGCCCAAAAATTTTTATAGCTACACTAAACGTAAAAGAGCTAAATGACCATGAAAAACAACAAAAAACATTGATATTAATTAAATCATACAAACTAGATATAATTGTAATTCAAGAAACGAATCTTAGTAACCAAACCTACTGAAACTACAATAGCTATTCAAATCAATCTGAACTGACAAAACTGCAATACTGACTGGCAGAAGAGATTTAAAACTTCAGAACCTGCAAACCTCTTATGAAGGAAGGGTTATTACAGCAGACATCTTATATAAAAAGTATCTCTTCAAGATTACAAATGTCTATGCTCTACCGAACATGAAAGACAGAACAGCTTTCTTTGAAAATTGGATTCCTCCTTTTGATGAAGACAAGATAAACATTATTGCAGAAAATTTTAATACAAATCTAGACCCAACCATAAACAGAATAAGCCAAGCCAATGCACAAAATAACCCATCAAGGTTAAAACTTAAAAGGCTATTAAACAACTTCCTGGACTCTGCATCTCTCTTGGAGAAAAAACCTTTTCTTACATTCTACCAGAATACAAGAAATAATCAGTCAATGGCTACACATCTAGACTATATCTTTATAGATGAGAACTATGATTTTTAATTAAAAAAACTGAAACTCTCTACGGAAACTCAGACCACTTACTAGTCAAATGTACCCTCATTCTAGAAAATGAAGCAAAAAAGGTATCTAGTTGGAGGTTTGATAAAGACTTTTTTAGAAACAAATTATTGGAAAAAGAAATCATTGAAGAAATTAAATCTGTCAACTCGGCATCAGACTGGGACTGGCACAAAGTTTGCATGCAATCAATTATAAGAGCCTTCAAAAAACCCAAAGCTTCCGAAAGTAAGATAATAACCCTAAATAAAAAAATAACCAAACTTAAAGACTCTTTAGCAGCAAACCCTGAACTAACAACTATGCAATCGAGAATAAATGATTTTAACATACAGATGCAAGAGGAGCTTTCCCAACTAGCAGAGAGATGGCTGACTCACTCAAAAGCCAATTTGGAGAAAAATCTACCAGATATTTCTTCTTGTGATTCAAAACCTGAAGCAGTAACTCTGCTTTGAAAGAGATTAAGATCTCAGAAGCTAATATACAAAATAAAGAAGATCAAACACTACAATACATAAAAGAAAAATATACTGAAATCTACAAAAATGAGGGTATAGACTTAGAAGCAGCTGCTTCGATCATGGATACACTTCCTACAATCTTATATCAAGAAAACTCCAATTTTACACAAGCTATTTCAAAAGAGGAAATAACAACCACGATTAGAAACCTCTCAAATAATAAATCCCCAGGCATTGATGGGTTAACATATGAATTTTACAAATTAACAGAGAAACATATCCCTTCGTCTGTAACACAGGCAAATTTGGCTGCGTTTTTTAAAATTTTTAATAAAAACTTAAATATTAATTTTAGCTATATCTTTTCTAAGTAAAAAATATATTTTTAGTTTTGTTTTAATAACTTTGTTATAA